CTTATTTGAAAGAGTTACACAGAGAAGGAGAGGCAGAGAGAGAGAGAGAGGTATCGTCCATCCTTTGGTTCACTCCCCAATTGGCTGCAACGACCAGAGCTGAGCCGATCTGAAGCCAGGAGCCAGGTGCTTCTTCTGGATCTCCCACATGGGTGCAGGGGCCCAAGGACTTGGGTCATCTTCCACTTCCTTCCCAGGCCACAGCAGAGAGCTGGACCGGAAGTGGAACAGCTAGAACTTGAATTAGCAGCCATATGGGCACTCCTAGGCCGCAGCTCTACTTGCTATGCCACAGCGCCGGGCCCAGTTTTTTTTTTTTTAAACAGAGGAAGAGGTAATAGGAAAATTAAAGTGCATTGAAATGGTTTTGTTTCCTACCCTATTAAAATTTCCTGTAAGAATCTAATATAGAAAGTTAGAGAAGATGCCAAGACATAGGATACTAAAGTGTTACAAAGGGGTTATTACGTACGTGTGAAAGTATAGAAAAAGTGTATGGATTTAAAAAATTTTTGCACAAATGTAAACGTATTTTAGTTACATTTTTTTGAAATCAAACCAAAACATTTTTTTAAAAGATAGCTCTTGTCTGCTGATTCCCTTCCCAAATGCCGAGGTTGGGGCCGGGGAGCCAGGAAATGAGTAATGCAGGTCTCCCATGAGAGGGGCAGGAACCCAATTAATTGAGCAAATAGTACTGCTTTCCAGGGTATGCATTAGCAGGAAGCTGAAGTAGGAGCAGGAGCTGAGAATTGAACCCTGACATTTTGATGTGGGACGTGGGTGGGTGTCTTTACCTGCCAGGCTAAACACCTGCTGCTTTGCACAACTTTTTGAAATATGTAATCAAGACAATCCCCAAATTGTTTCTGTACACTTCAAAATAAAAAAGTTTGTTGAAGGTTACTTTCTCTTGACATTTTCTTGAGCAACACTTTATTGAGGCTGTTATGGTTTCTAGCAATGTTAAATATATAGTAGTGCTGAATAAAAAGAAACATTGTGGTGAGTTCAATCATGAGTTTAAACATTTGATGAGTTTGAGTTGCAGTTAGCCATTTTGATAGTCAAATTTGCCTTCAGTTGGCCCGTGGGTGACTTAGCTGATCCAGAGTAGTAGTCCTGTCCTTGCTCTCTGGTGTATTTAAAACTCATTTCCTCCCCCAGCCTTGGAATCAGCCATTTTTCAGGAAGCCCTACTTTATTTTAGTGAGAAATGATGTTTAAAGACTACATTCTGGCCGGCGCCATGGCTCAATTGGACTGACTTTTCTATTTTGCTGTTACTTGTTTTTATGTGAAATTTGTTGGACTGAACTTTTAGGGAGAGGCATGGTTAGAGTGACTTTTTACTACACAGGGCTCTCTCAGTGTTTTTGTGCAGTGTTTAAGTATGCGGCCATATATGTTCTGAAATTCCAGGCGCTCTTCCACTCTGACTTTTCTTGTTTGGATCTAGCATTTTGTTATTGCTTATTGTCTTCTCATTGTGTGGTCCTTTTAAGGGCTCATGTGTGTAAGAATGCGTTTCCTTTTCAGATCTCAATGTTAGGTCCCTTGTTTTACTCTATCAGCTACTGCTCTCAAATTAATCTGCCACAATTTCCCATGAATACCTGTTGGCCATTTGTGATTCTCCTATTTTAGCCCTTGAGATGCATCATGGCTTCTGTTTTCTTTTGCTTAGACCCTGATATTGAATAGGTTGTAGGATTTGTGGGATCACCTTGTCAGCTGGTATTGTTGGAAATGTTCATTGTTTTTGATTGTGCTGTCTAGTTGTCTATCCAAAGGGTTTTGCAAGAGAAAAAACTATAGCAGTGCTGATAATCTCTCAGAATACTGCTTTTTAGGAAAACTTTTAAATCTACCTCCTGTTTTTAATTTAACAATTTTTAACATTTTTGCTGGATTCATTTCATCTGTACACATTTCTACATACACATATACTTTTTTTTTTAGACAGGCAGAGTGGACAGTGAGAGAGACAGAGAGAAAGGTCTTCCTTTTTGCCGTTGGTTCACCCTCCAATGGCAGCCATGGCTGGCGCACTGCGGCCGGCGCACCGCGCTGATCCGAAGCCAGGAGCCAGGTACTTATCCTGGTCTCCCATGGGGTGCAGGGCCCAAGCACTTGGGCCATCCTCCACTGCACTCCCTGGCCACAGCAGAGAGCTGGCCTGGAAGAGGGGCAACCGGGACAGAATCCGGCGCCCCGACCGGGACTAGATGCCGGTGTGCCAGTGCCGCAAGGCGGAGAATTAGCCTAGTGAGCCGCGGCGCCGGCCTATATACTATTTTTTTGAAACAGCATATTAAAATCACAAAGTGAGGGATTCGTGACTGATTATAGAACATCAGGAAAGAAGGATGTGTTGTCATTATATATGGTATAACTCAGTGAAACAA